ATGTGTTTCTTGAGTCTGAAGAGGACTTTATAGATTGGTATCCGACATATGGGCCAATATCGGACTTATGGACTTGATCTGGACTGGGCTGGGGTGTTTTCTCAACAGTCAGTTGCTCTTGTATATAAAGCTCTTTCTTATACCCATATGAGTGTCTATGAATTTGTTTCTCTAGTATACATAGACTAACACATCCTGCCTTCCCACTTTTATTGGGAGAGTAATCATGGTCACCACTGCCTGTTTCCCTGGTATCTGTCCTGGTCACCTTGGCAGTGGAGTGGTCAGAAACATGTGTGGACAGTTTATAAGATAGCCTTTGGATGGAATTGGGGTCCTTAATGCAGGACATGGTCCCTGAAGACCAATGACTTGGTTCCAGGCACTAGCACACACCAACAAGAATGACAGCGATGATGGCAGGTAGGTAACATGTGACTTCTAGACACCTGCTCCTGAAATGGTGGGGCTCTCAGGGGTGCCTGTCCTTGACCCAGTTCCTTTATTAAAGACTTAAGAGGCATTTCAAGTTGGTGACATTGTCACGCCAAATCACTCTTAGGGGAGTGGCCCTCCTCACCACTCATGCTTCCCTTGACTTCTTTGGCTTCCATTTGCCTCCAAAACTTGAGAGCTGGGTGGAAGACTGGGTGGGAAAGTCAGGGAAGCAGACAGGTGGCGCCCTCCCTCTGGATTGCCAGCGCTAGTGAAAGGGTGACTCAGCACTCCTGGATGTTGGGCCAGGCACAGGTCAGGGAAATTAGGAACAGCCTGACCTGCCCTATCAGACTGGGAAAGGCTAGTTTCAAAAGGGCCCTAGGACAATAAGCCATCTCCTCTGTATCAGGTGGAAGGGTCAAGGCAACACCCTACCTTGGAATTTCATGGATGGAGACGTCTTCAGGCCCTGCAGCTGCGGCTCACAACCCCTCCCTTTCTTGTTGATCCTCCTGACCAGCTTAAAAACTTGCTCTCCACCACCGATAGGTGTGACTTCTCCTGGCCTTGGCTGGGAGCTCAGAGCTCCTGTCTCTCTCTACTCTCCCTCCTGTGCAGTGCACCTTCACTGACTCCTTGCTGGAGCCCGTGAATCTCACCCGGGAGGGTAGGATAATCTCCTTTTCCTTCTCGCTGGCCCGGCCTCACTTATCTTTGCAGCTAGCCTACTGCTGGGCAGAGTAGGTTCCCAGGCGAAGCTGTCGGCCTTGTTCCCATGGCCCCTCTCATCACGGACAGAGTGGCTCTGGGTCAGTTCAGGAGCTCCCGGAGCCCAGACGCACTCCTGTTTCAGTCTATGCCATACTTCCTTCCAGCTAGGAATGGTCCCATGGTTCACTGTGACCAGTGGGTCTGCCAGGGAGCTGTGGGCGGTCTTCATTTTTTTATAAGAGAGGAGAGCTGCGTTTGGCACCTCCCTCGGCTCTGCCTTCCATCCTGTCTTGATTTCAGGCACAATACCTGACCAGCCAACGTGTATGGGAAAAGAGCCCCTGGATGGCTTGGTTGAGTGCCCCGGGGTTTTGCTAGGAGAGGAAAAGAACTCCTTGATTTTGAGCCAGTGTAGCTGGTGACCCTTGACTTGTGGCTGACCGCACTCTGACTGAGACAGGAGTTTCCTTCATTCTTTTTCCATTTGCATCCTGGTTTTCAAACTCTCCGCCCAGGTCAGGGAGCACCTTGGAGAAGGTTAGGGGCCTCATTTCATAACTACCCCCCCCCCCCGCATCTCCCAGGAGAATGGGGGAAGAGGGAGGCAAACGGTGATTATCAACCGAGACAAACCATACAAGCACTTCTTCCCCCTCTGGTACTTCAGCTCTGAATAGACAGTTCTTAGAAGGCAGGGACCACATTGAAAACCATGCCACCTCTCCTCCACAGCACGAGGCATAAGAATGCTTAGTGCCAAAAATTGGCCCAATTCATGTCCTGCAGGAGCTCGCCGTTCAGGGTGGAGACAGCCCTGTGCTCAAGCAGTGACCACAGAGAGAGACTGTTCCCATGAAGTGTGGTGCAGGAGGCCATGGAATAGAGGGAGTGTGGCAGTTACATAATCTGTCAACTTGCGAAGGGGTGGAGTCTAGCCTGTCAATGAGGTCACAGCTGGATGACCTCATTCCAAGGGGCAAAGGAGATAAATAGCTCACTGGAGGCCGGTTTACACTCTGCTTTGTCTTCCTGCTGACAAGACAGACACATGGACCCATGCTGATGGAACCAGAGCCCTGGAGCTTGAGGAGCCACATGGAGACCCATGCCAGCGCTGAGATGCTTCCACCGCCACTGGATCCACAAAGCTTTCCACCCAGTGGCCTGTGACCGTCCTGAATTCAGCTCCATTGCATGTGTTTCGTGAGTCTGAAGAGGAATTTATAGACTGGTATCAGACATAGGGGCTAATATCAGACTTCAGGACTTGATCTGGACTGAGCTGGGGTGTTTTCTCAATATACCATTGCTCTTTTATCTAAAGCTCTCTCTTATACACACATGAGTCTCTCTGGATTTGTTTCTCTAGTCTACCCACAGTAACTCAGGAAGAAATCCTTCTGCATCTGGCTGGGAGGCTGAGGCTTTGAGCTGGAACTTAAAGCTGAACAAGGCCTCGCCTACCCACCCCATGGACCCTGTGTTGGGAAAGGGAGAAGGACGTGCAGCAAGCACTGAAGACCCAGGCCTGGTGAAGGAGAGAGCGGAGCATCTCTGGAAGCGCCTCTCTTCCAGAACTGGCCCGTCCGAGTAAAGCCGTGTTACAGCCTGCAGGTGAAGACCTTCTGAAACATGCCCTGAGTTGGGGTATTGGTTGTGGGCAATCTTTTGACTGTCTCCTGTGTAAAAGTGAACAGTGCCTAGTGACGGCGTTTGGTGTCTACACCCTGGGTGACGATGAGTTGAAATGCTGCCTTCATTCTGCATGTGTGTTCAAAGTCAAGTGTTTTCAGGAGAGTCTGTTTGCGTGTCTTCTGTTACCGTCTACATTTTGGCTGCCAGGAAGTTTCCACTGTACAAAACTTCATTCAAAAGGATTTTCTACTGACTCCAGAGTACTCTCAAGCACAAAGCCTGTGTTGTCAAATGCAACCAAATGGCAACACAGGTGAAAATAAACCGTTTGGCTTTTCCCCCCTCTCCTTTCTAACATAGCAGTGCCGAGCGGAACTGTGCAGAGTAACTTGCTGGCAGTAAATTTAAAAACAAATACCTGTCTCCTCCAGTTCATTGAACGTTCCATGCTTAATACACTCAAGCTTGCAGCTAAGTGTGTAATTTTGCTCTGCAGTTCAATCCTGTTACCTTAGAATGAAAGGCATTTCAATACAGCAAATGCCTAAGGCTGACTTAACTGTGGATTTGTCTGCCTGTATGTGATCTGGTATATCTCTACGGCAGGGACTACGAAGAGTCACACCAGCGCCCATCTTCAAGCTGTTACATTGGGAGAACGATATTTCCACGAGTTATTGGCAAATGACAATACATTCCAACCTCAACTGTACTCTTCCCCTCCTAGGCTATGTGAACAATGCTGGGTGCTGCTAAGCACAGCCTGAGAGGCGGGGCCGCTTTGTTTCGGTCATGAATGAGCTAAGACAATGCCTGTTCATGTTTAAAATATTCTTTTCGGGTCCTTTGCTTACCGAAGGAGGCCCGACTTCACTCCAATGCTTTGAGAGCGGTGCTTAACTACACTCAAATGGAAAGAGGGGGGGCACAAAGACAAAGAAACACCTCTCCACACCCAGAGACTGCTGCAGCTCCTCAGGGGCTGAGAAGGAAACGGTCCACGTCTCAGAAATCTAGCTCCAATGGCCCTGGGCCAGGGCACTCAAAGACGCTCCATGAAGATTTCTACTTCACAAGCAATTCATTAATTGAGCTCAATACTAATAGCTACTTAATAATACTCGATTCAATGAATACTGTTTTAGTATCCAAAATAAATACCAACCACTAGAAAGTACTCTCTCTCTCTTTTTAATATTGGTTACCAAGTACACTCCTAGATGACTCAAACTACTGGCCACGTGTATCAACCCTCGCCTTGGACAGCACTCCTTCTTCCCGATCCACTTCAGAACCTTCAAAACCCACTTTCTTCTCTCGAGGTCCATGGTTGACTCTGTCCCAGTGACTCCTCTCTCCGGGAGGCACTCGAGGGCGAAGGCTGGGATGGATCCACACGGCTGATTTCTGACCCGATGGCTAGGGAACCTGGGTGGAAGGAATGTCGCAGGGTTAACGTGGATTGCGTCTCAGTACGCTGTAAGCATGCGCACACAGATGATTGAAAGTAAACAGTCAAGCACCGGGCAAGGAGAGCCACATCCGGCGAAGGTTTGCTTGCTCTCCTGTGGAAACCCAAATTGTATGAGACTGGGGTGAGGAGTGATGACAGGGCGCAGGGGACACAGACCCGGAGCATGGCTGGAGGGGCATGGGGAAGGATTGGCGATCCACGAGTCTCTCAAGGAGTCGTGGGCATGGGGCTCTGCTCCCTGGCTCTCAGGGCAACAGCTGTGCGGTGGTTCCCTGGGGATGAATCCTCTCTTAACCCGGGTCTCTGAGGCCACAAGAAAACAGTGCTATCTGACCGGCTGGGGCTGTCAGGACTGGACAGCGACTGTCTTTGAAACCATCTGGTGACTGAAGGACCTTCCCAGTGTGTTGATGCCACCTAAGATTTGGACACCTTTGCACAATCTTGGGGTTACAAAGACATGTACTATTTCTTGCACATTTGACTCTATGGATTGAAAGTCCCATCAGCTGGTCGCCCCTAGTCCTCAGACGAGTTGAGGCAGGCAGCATCTGCTTTGAGCAGGTGGAGTGGAGGCCCTGTCTGCAATACGCAGTCCACACAGCCAGAAGAGGGCTACCTGGCTTATTTTATGGGTCCACTACTCGATCCACGGGAAACACCCATTCATCTAGGCCAGGAAATATGGAACATAGCTGCTTGTTCAACTGACTGGAAGGGATCCATATTTATACTCTTGCCAAAAAGACGTGACCCAACAGAATGGTCAAATTATAATTTCATTGATATCACAGGCAAGTAAAATTTTCGTGAAGGTCACCCAACAGTTGTAGCTGTACATTGACAGGGAGCTGCCAGAGGTCCAGGGCGAATTCAGGAGAAGATGTGGAACAAGGGATCTCAGTCGATATCAGATGGATCTGGGCTCAAAGCAGGGAGTCCTAGAAAGATGTTACTTATGTTTCAATGACAATGCCAAGGCATTTGACTGTGTGGATCACAACTAACTATGGATAACCTTGGGAAGAATGGGAATTCCAGAACGCTTTATTGTGCATGTGCAGAACCTGTGCATGGGTCAAGAGGCAGTTGTGTGAAAGGAACAAGGGAATGCTGATTTTTATTAGGAACGGTGTGTGACAGGGTTGCATTCTCTCACCATACTGGTCCCATCTGCACGCTGAGCAAATAATTAGAGAAGCTGACTTAGATAAAGAAGAATGTAGCATGAGGATTGGAGGAAGGCTTATTAACAACCTGTCCTATGCAGATAACACAACTTTGCTTGCTGAAAGTGAGGAGGACTTGAAGCACTTGCTGCTGAAGATCAGGGATTGCAGTCTTCAGTATGGATTCAATTCAGTGTCAGGAAGACCCAAATCTTCACAACTGCACCAGTCACATCATGATCCATGGAGAAAAGGTTGAAGTTGTCAAGGATTTTGTCTTGCTTGGATCCACAATCAATGCTCATGGAAGAAGCAGTCAAGAGATCAAAGAATGCATGGCACTAGGTAAATCTGCTGCATAAGACCTCTCTAGGGAACTGAAGGCAAGGATGTTACTTTCAGGACTACAGTGCACCTGACCCAAGCCATGGTATTGTCAACTGCCTCATATGCACATGAAAGTTGGACAGTATTCATAAAGACTGAAGAAGAATCAATGCATGTGAATTGTGGTGTGGTGCTGGAGAAGAACATTCAAAGAACCCTGGACTGCTGAAAGGGATAAACAGATCTATTTTGGAAAAAAGTATGGCCAGAATGCTCCTTAGAAGCAAGGATGGTGAGACTTTGTCTGACATCCTTTGGACGTGTTGTCAGGAGAGACCAGTCCCTGCGGAAGGACATTGTGCTGGGTAAAGCAGAGGGCCAGTGAAAAGGAGGAAGGCCCCCAAGGAGACGGATGGACACAGTGGCTGCAACAATGGGCCGGAGCACAGGAACCATGGGGAGGCTGGCCCAGCCCGGGCAGTGTTTCCTTCTGTTGTGCCTAAGGTAGCAATGGGTCGGAACTGACTTGCTGGCCCCTAACAACAACTACCAGAGAGTTAGGGATAAGAGGCCCTCTCCCTTTCCTTTGTTTCCCCAGTAGAAAATGAAGGGATAAATTAGACAAGAGAGAATGAATATTTCTGCTGCAGCTGGGGAAAAGAGACAGGCAGGGAGCTAGTCAGGAAAGGAGTACCCAGCACAACATGGAGGCTGATGAGACGCAGTCTTGTCTCGGCACTGACTTGTCCTTCACAGAACAAAATCTGGGTCCTCTTATAGAAGGCGGTGGCCTGCGTGAGGGGAATGCCACACCAGGCAGTGGAAGTAATGGCAGGGGGGAGGGGCACCCAGTACCACATGGGGCCCAGTGATTGCTGCTAGTGCCATGCAATCACAGTCTTTGGTTACGGCAGCTTAGCGGAGCCTGTGTCAGGCACCTTTTGTTGGGAGAACACAATGGCACTCCACATTGAGACTCGGGTCTGTCTCCCTTCCTAGTAACTGGACCGCACTTCAAATCAAGGCAGTGGGCTGGCCAAGTCCACGTGGTACCATGATGTAGGAATGATGAAGAGCAGAAAAGAAGACCTAGTTCGGCATTTCTAAAGAGTCTAACTCCCAGAGCATTGCCTAGCTGCCAGCTATTCTCTGAGTCCCATTCCAGTAGAAAAGAGGCCCTTGGCTCTGTTTCCAATTCACCATCACATACCCAGCAGGAATGAAAAGCAGAATGAGGGGACCCTGATTCCTGATATAGTTTGGAGAATCTTTCCCCTCTTCTTCTCCTGGGTACTTCTGCTCATCTGGTAACGTACAGATGAATGTGGAAGTGAGAAAGAAAGAGAGAGAGAAACTTGTAAGAAAAAAAAAATCAGTCAATTGGCATAATATAGTTCACAAAGACAATGGTCTACATCCTAATTTGATGAGTAGTAACTGTGGTCTTAAAAACATCTGAGCAGCCATATGCAATTGCTGGTCTTTCCCCATCCAGAGAAGAGTAGTGAAAATCGGAAGATACATGGAGACAATTCATCCAAATAAGTTAATAGACCAGGCAGACATCAGTCTATACCACCCTGAGATCAGAAGAACTAGATGGTGCCAAGCTACCACTACCGACTGCTCTGGAAAAGATCGCATTAGAAGATCCTGGATAGAGTGGGAGGAAAATGTGTGCCACAATTCAAAATCACACACACACACACACAAAGACCAGACTCGCGGGTTGGGAAGAGACTGGTAGGACCCCCAAAACGATGGCCCTTACCCTTTAGGTCTGGAATTGAGCTCACTTCCATATCAACCAATGAAGACCCAAAGGGCATCCTTAACCCAAGGACAAAGTTCAGAGGGCTAGGAAATAAAGAGGAATGGAAACAGGAAATAGCAGGAGGAAGTGGATACACATGGCACACTGAGGGGAATGCCATGGATGAGTTGAATCAGAGTGGGTATGGATTGTCGAATGTAAAAACTATGAAACTAATTCACAATGATTTTTTTCAAAATTAGAAAGAAAACAAAATCTCATCACTGACCTCAAAAAATTTCAGGGAACAGATAATTGGATCCTGTGACATGCATCTAAGATCCAGGCTATTGGGGATTTTCAGGAAAGTGTTCCACTTATTTTTCCCCCCATTTTTACTTCTCCCTTTCATGCTAGCTGCCTGGGCATATTGTTGGCAGTCCAGCTTCCGGGAGCCAGGACTTGATGCCAGTAATTTCTAATAGGAAGCAGCAGCTACTTCTACATTATCTTACATATTCTTTAAGAAGCTGTCCCATTCCTTTCTGTACATTGAACATGCAGCTTCTTTACTGGAAATTGGAGGAGGAGTTGTCTCTTTGATTTATCCCCTATTGTTGAAAAGAGATTTAAGGTTTCGTATACAGTCCGTTCTTCCCACCGTGGTGGCTTGTGTGTTGCTGTGATGCTGAAAGTGATATCACTGGTATTTCAAATCCCAGCAGTGTTTCCCACAAGGAATAGGTTTCCACAGAACTTCCAGACTAGCAACAGACAACAAAGAACGAACAGGCTGTCCACTTCAGAAGAACTAACCCCTGTAAACCTTATGGATAGCAGTGAAACATGGTCAGAGGCTGAAAACCTCATCAATGCAAGCAGAGCATCGTCAGAGATCGTGCCAGAAGATGAGCCCCTCAGGTCGGAAGGCACTCAAACTACGACTGAGGAAGAGCTGCCTCCTCAAAGTAGACTTGACCATAAAGGCGTGGACGGACTAAAGCCTTTGGGAGTAAAGCCTGCAGGACCTTCGTTGGCTGATGGGGCATAACTCAAAACGAGAAGAAACCACTGCAAAAATCGACTAATAATTGGAACTTGGAACGTATGAAGTGTGAATCTAGGAAATTGGATGCCATCAAAATGAAGTGGAAAACATAGAGATTCATATTCTAGACATTAGTGAGCAGAAATGGACTTGTGTGTAATCGTATGATGTATTATGCTGGATATGACAGCTTCAAGAGAAATGACACTGCATTCATCATCAGAAAGGACATTTCAGGTCTATCTTGAAGTCCAATACTGTCTGTGATAGAATAACATCTATCGCAGCAATGCAACTATGACTCAAATCTATGCACCAACCACTAAGACTAGTGATGCAGAATTGAAGAATTCTACCAATGTCTTCAGTCAGAAATCGATCAATCGCGCAATCATGCAATGCATTGATAATTATTGGTGATTGAAATGCAAAAGTTGGAAATAAAGAAGAAATAGTCCTCGTTGAAAAGTATGGCCTTGGAAGAAGCACACCAGCCTATGCAATCACGAGGTGTCGAAGGGATCATGTGTAAGGCATCATCAGAACAAAAAATCTTACCATAGTGAATGATGGGGGAGT